CAACACAATAACCGACCATCCGGTTTCGTTCTCAAGAGTGATGATGATATATTAGTCAGACGTCAGGTTCCTTGCAATCACTGGACTTCGTTTGACAGTAATCGACTCCCTGATGCCGTACTATTCAGCTTATTCAAAATATATTTCCCTATCATCGTAAGCTTACTGTCGATGCTAGTCAACTCATCCATTTTCTTAAATTTGAGAAGAACCCCGAAGCTTTATGGATATATGTCAATTTTGGATCGTGGTGCTAGTGGTGTTCATATGGGTTTAATTTTCTATAACTTGCTTGTTCCGGGGTCTTAGGCCTTAGATTGTAAAATTACTGCCACCAGCGACCTTTGTTGGTCAACAGGTTTGATATGTCGATTGCGAAAATTTCAATAGCCTCGGTGGAATTCGAACCCAGGGATGGACGTCGCCTAAGTATTTGTACAACGCTAACTGGTGGATACCATATGCCTCTGTAAGTTGGACGGGTAGTTGGAATGCGAAAAGATGAGTGCCTTCAGTGTGACCTCATAGCTCAGCTGGTAGAGCGTGCGCTGTACGAAAGGTTGTGTGGCGTCCATGAGTAGGTTCGAATCCCACTGAGACTACTGAACTTTTCACAATCGACATACAAACTTCAACTGTGACAAACAACAATGAGCTTCGTGTCATTTTGTTCAATTTAATACTTATCCCGTTTGGGGCCTTATGTCGTTCGCCACGCCAACCCTCAGCTCAGGTTGTTGCTTACCTAAACGAAACCTAAGGTACTCATCATGATCGGTTAGGCCTTTTTCTGTACATTACACTAAACTTTGTTAATGAAACTGGACAAGCAAGTTTAGCCTTACGATTGCTGTTCGGTTAAAACAGTGAGATTTTGTTGTTCGTGATCAAATGAAAGTTGCAAGCGTTTTAATGAACAGATGTGGAATAAATATGATCAGTTACAAAGCTGTACTAGCCCACCAGAGATGTGCATTTAACTGTCAAATAACTCAACTCAAAGCTTAAAACTGATAATCCGTCAGGTCCGTTCTTTATGTGTACTTTTCAATTATACCACTCAACTGTACATCCAGAAACCAAAAGCTAGGGTTAACGTACGCTCTCATTAAAGTTCAGCAGGTGGTTTCTATTCCTTTCCTACATAATAATGAATGTACTTATATACTTAGTGTGTGATTGAGGGGAACTTTTTATTGAAAGGTACGCTATTTGCCATTGCAGTTAACAGTTAATCAAAACAAATTACTGTAATGGTTGAAGCAGCATAACTTTGTTTTCTCAATAATTGTACTCATAATGCGACTCTGTATATTACATCCCCCTGTCGATCATGTCAACACTTGTTGTTTGTTTGATTCTGCCATGCATTCACTGGACTCCTAAGTTAATTGTATGTGATATACTGAAGATAACGTGTTATCTCTCCCTGTCAGCGCGACAGTTGAATTCATTTCCATTTATATTGGGAAAAATGCATCTAGATCGAGCATCGCTTCAGTGTATCCGTGAAATTGTAGTTTGCAACATCTTCACATTTCTGGACCTGCAGATCCAGTAAGCAATTTCTCACTACTGTACAAATTTCATGTTATTACCGGTGAACAATGTGATGGTCAGTTTTAATAACCATCCCATTACTGTTCGATTGCCAAGCTGCTAATGGATTCATCGTTTGTCGAGATCAGTCGTTTCTCATTTCCCGGGGTTGCTTCCCAAACTAATCCAGATACACTCACATTGTCCCATGCAGGATGGCCACATGCTTCTCTAAACACACACAGAGAGTGATGAATCGTTTGTGGAATTAAACGACCGCATAATGACCACACCCATTGCATGACATTAAATAGTTTAGACAAAGTGAATTAACATTTTCAGCACTAGCTCTGAGTGTCACATAAATCGCAGGATAGTACATCCATGGTTACCTTTTAATAGGGGTTCACTTAATTTACTCAGTCGAGGCAAATCTGCGAGTATAGAGACGAAATTCAGAGACCCCAAGCACACGATACGTGCTCTTTAGTGTTGGGTTTAACAAGCGCTGACAAAAATCATTGAAGTGAGACATAAAGGCAACAAGTATAAACCCACTATTGTAATTCGGCTTCTCGCCGCGGTGTAGACCGGTCGACATCATGCACATTGAAATCATAAATGCAAATGGTTGACCCTTGGATTGCCCAGACGAGAAATGATGGAATCAGGAACTTACGTACTCCCTCATCCAATAAGCATTCAAAAAAACATACTTTGTATAGTGAGTACTGTCGAATATTTTCTAAGGATACAGACCGTCCATTAGGAGCATAGAACTTGATCAACTTGGAGTAACACTTTGCAGACCCTTTCTATTGACTGGCAACGTGATTCCTAAATTCTGTGTCCGTACTGCGGGATTTTTGTGGAGCATCAATTACATATGCGACGGTTTCACGGGATTGACCGCAGAACCGCATCACAAACTACTGCCCCAATCCATGCGCATCGGTACCCCGTTTTCTTACACTCTTGAGCTATCGATCTAGGCCCTCAAGACTATTCACTCGTCAGGTCTGGATTGAAACAACAGTAACATCATCATCTGTTTGTTGAGGCGCACACACCTAATTCAGTATGTGAGAAAGGCCGGAGTTATCAAGCTCACTTTATAAAGTTGTCACATGTTTTGCAAGTTGGTTTTAGTCATTAGGATCGACGTGTTTTCTGGTACCAAATAGGAGATGTACTAAAACCTAATGAGAAAAATTGTACGGGATTTCAACACCCAAGGCGTTTGTAGTTATAACTTCATTTCACAAATTATAGACGACCGTTTTGTCTACCCGAACAGGATTCATTATGGTCACTTCATTTAAACTGCCTTTATTCTCTTAGTAAACCAACAATGAGGTAACCAATCTTTGGTGTGTATTTTGCAGAATGATGATATTATCAAATTTGATAAGCTACAAATTTAATTAGGAATCGAGCTCCAAAACAGAAACCTAGATGTCACCCAATTAGTTGTCGAAAAAGAACATTTATTTCGTCAAACCAAACTTCATAAGGATGAAATAATGACACGGCATTGGTAACTTGGAAGGAATACAAAAATTTAAACTCATTCTGGAATGAATGAATTGATCTGTCAAGATGGGTTATACTGAATGTTGCGAAAGTGTGATGAAACAACTTATTCAGAAATCCGGTAGCCATATCAGTAGAATACTTTAAGTTTGCTTTAGAAATTCTGGGTTCAGTTACCCGC